AAATCAGATAAAGCAACAAATCAAAATATCAATAAAGATTGTCAAAATTATGTCATGAAATCATGGTAATAAATTAAAATCATATAAAAGTGTACCCATATTATTCAGGTATTTTATATCACGTGTTCTGTATATCACATGCTTAGTATCAACATAGTGAACTAAATCAACCTTATATGTTTTAATAGTCTCCTACATATTTGAAAGTTTTATTCTTTTTTTTTCTTGCCAACCTTTCCAGAGAAGCCCATATCAATCAAATAATCAGCTGAACCACATTTAAATTGCAATCATCAATAGGACAATTAGGTAAATCACCATGAGTTTCCTCAAAACCCAGTCTTTGCCTGATTACAAGCACATCCAATCCTCATGGCTAATAAGAATATCAATCAAATAATCCCCACCGCACAAAGCATTAACATTAACATTAGAGTTAGGAGTAAAAGGTAATCCAATTAAACGATCTTTATCAGAAACCAACAATCCATCATGATCAACATTGATAGAAACAAGAGGAGAAACATTTCCAATAGGCCTCAAAGACACAAAAAGGTCATCCATAGTATCATGCTCAGGCCAAGAAACTCACCCAAGATGCCCCGTGCTGTTCCATATCCTAGTAATGAATCATTTAAGGGATCCTGATTTTTTGGATGGGTCGATGAAATTGGATTTCAGAGGAGGAGATCCTTTGACTTGTAGCCCCTCTTCAATATGCTTTAATTAGTTTTTTTCCCTCTCGCAGTCCTAGCCTTGACTCTATTCAAAAGTTTTTTCTTCAACCTCAAGCTGAATGGCAATTTTTCTATTACTTTGTTTAATTCGTCGCATGTCCTAATTAAGTTTTTTAATGATCTCGATTACAACAAGGTTTTTTATCATCGATCTTATTTTATTAGCAACAGTTGTATGAAATTGACTAAATGATCTCCTTTAGTTAATATTGGAGTGGATTCTCCTATTATTCCCATTTGGAATTCCTTCCTGAATTTGCAGCCACATCTCTTCTCTCCCGTATCCTTCTTGATTTGGGTTCTTTATTTGGACATCTATTAAAGGTTGACAATGCTACCTCTGTTGGCTCTTAGCCTTCTATTACGCATGTGTTGGTTGAACTTGACATTACAAAAAGTTATCCTGATAAAGTGTGGCTAGGTCCTGAAAAGTTTGGGTACATTCGGCATATTGAGATGGAGGTTTTCTCACCCTTTTGTGTTCATTTTAAATGCATTGGACATTTGAGGGGTGATTTTCACCTCCAATCTTCTATCCTGGTGAATGTCACTATTAGTGCCATTAATCTTATTAGCTATGATGGGAATGTTACTAGTGTTATGGTAAATTTGGATAATTTAGCTATCCCTTCTTTAACTCTTACGTTGTCTGATAATGATTGGTGGTTAATGGGGACACTTGCATCGTAACTGATAATGTTATGGATGATGTGAATGTTGTGGCTGAGAATTCTTTATCACATTTGGAGCCTATGGACATTATTGGTTTTAGTTATGTTGTTTTAGACACTGAGAATGTTGATAAAGGTTTGAATGATATGGATGTGCCTGTAATTTTAGACGATCCTCTCCCGATCAATATTTTACCTAACACGACTTATCCTAATGATGGGATTAAACCCTTTGCTGCTTCTGATATGAAACAACATGAGGCATCTTAGTTTTCTTGACCTGAGCACGATACTATGGATGACTTCACTATGGCTTTAAGGCCTGTTGGAAATGTTTCTCCTCCTATTTTTGTCAATGTTAATCATGATGGATTGTTGATTTCTGATAAAGCTCATTTAATTGGCTTACCTTCTACTCCTAGTTCTAATATTGATTTTAATGCTTTGTGTAGTGGGGATTGTTTGGTTGATATTCTTGTTGGTCATGTAGATAGGATTTGCTCGCAATCAGGCGAAGAATGGGGTTCTAAGGGAACTCATGGTGATTTATCTAATTTTTTGATTGATGATTGCAATTTAAATGTGGGTCAGGTGATTGCTAGGGGTTTCTCTGGAAAGGTTGGCAAGAAAAAAAAAAGAAGAATAAATCTAAATATCTTCTTCTTGGGATTAATTTTTTCTCTTTCCTCCCCTGTTTATTTGGGCCGTTTGGTCTTTCTTTTAGTGGTTATGTTCCTTTGCTAGTTGGATGGTTGTTGGCTTTATGGTTTTTGGGCTGGGGTTGATTGTGTGTCGTGGATGCTTGTGGACTCTTATTTGATGTTGTTGTTGGCGTTATTGTTTTTTTTTTTTTTTGGCATGTTCTTTCCTTATTTTTTTACAAGTTTCTATGATATTTTGCTACTTCTGTTGGTTAGGGATGATTGATGTAGTCATGTTGCTCATACCTTCTGTGGTTCCTCTATTTTATTGTAATATATTGAATCATCGACTTATATGTTTTATTTTAAATGTTATACTTTTAGAGAGCTGAGGGTTCACTAAGGACTTGTAATTCCATTTTTATTGTTTGATTTTTCATTCTGCCTGTTCTTTCCTTATTTTTTTACAGGTTTATGTGGTATTTTGCTACTTCTGTTGGTTGGGATGATTGATGTAGTCATGCTGCTCATGCCTTATGTGGTTCCTCTCTCATGGATGGCTTTAGGCCTTCATGTTGGTTTGCTTATTTTGTTGTTTTTTTATTGTAATATATTGAATCATCGACTTATATGTTTTATTTTAAATGTTATACTTTTAGAGAGCTGAGGGTTCACTAAGGACTTGTAATTCCATTTTCTTGTTTCATTTTTTGTTCTGCCCGTTCTTTCCTTAATTTTTTACAGGTTTATGTGGTATTTTGCTACTTCTATTTGTTGAGATGATTGATGTAGTCATGCTGCTCATGCCTTATGTGGTTCCTCTCTCATGGATGGCTTTAGGCCTTCATGTTGGTTTGCTTATTTTGTTGTTTTTTTTATCGTAATATATTGAATCGTTGACTTATACATTTTACTTTAAATGTTATACTTTAGAGAGCTAAGGGTTCACAAAGGAATTGTAATTCCATTTTTATTTAAAGCGTAGCCCCAACCCCCCCCCC